TCAGCAATTTGTTTCCATTTTTCTAATGTTACGTACAAGTTTTAAGTTCTGTCAGAGTAAGTAGCTGAGGAAGTGACCTTAATTGCTTAAGAATGAAGACGACTCCTCTGCATATCTGAACTAGAACATGAGGCTTTTTTAGTTTCTCCCTCTGCAGCCTTACCAAAAACAAAGCTCCCCAAAACACTGAAATATTTCCGTCCCTTAGAGCTCTTTCTGCAAATGTAGTAGAGAATATTCTTTAGCCATCAGCTCAAACTGAGACAGCCTTTGCATCAGACCCCATCATACTCTGCCACATCACATCACAGAGCACAGGGGAGTTCAGCTTCCACATGATATGATCTTTATTATCTCTCATTTCCACATAGCTCTCAACAGCTCAATAGGCTCCCAAATCTGTCCTTCCACATCACTGCAGAACAGCAGGGAAACTGAGTTTCCATGGAGCAGGAAGGGAGGTAGTTTAAATAACTTGTCTCAAATAGGTGAAAAATGGTGCTCTAACTAGCTGCCTGGGATCCAAGGATTTTCTGAAGCACTCATGTCATTTAAGAACACAAATTTTTCTCAAAAAAACATGGGAATGTCCTAGTGAACTGCATACCATTTAATAACTACAGCACAGTAGTTGCATACCCTTTGATGACCACCTTTTTGAGATGCTGTTTTGTTGCTGGGGCAAAACTACTGTATAGTAGGTCTAACAAAAACTCTTAGTCCTAGCCTTTAAACTACAAGTAATCCAAGTAATCTAAAAATCAGCAGTGATTACATCTCTGCTAAGACCTTCAGAACTCTTGCGTTCCTCAAGAACTATATAAATAATAAAAATCATGGCACAGCACGTTAGAATGAAGATAAAACTCAAAAAACTTTATTGCTTCACTGTAAACTTGTAGTACAAATTGGACAAAAGCATCCTCTAGATAGTATTAGATTTATTGAATTGTCTGTTGGTAATTTCTGCATAATAAATTTGTTTTATAAAGCTAAAGGAATTGAAATTAAGATACTGGTTTTAAAAAATCCAGGAAAGTTTTCCTGTTTCATGTTTTTCCCATTGTGGTGTCACCTTGGAGACAAATTGGTTGCCTTCACTACTGACTGTGCTTTTAGGGTTTCCTTTCCTCTCTTCTCATTTTCCATCCACTATTACTGCCTTGGAGAGCTATGAAGCTTTTTAACCAGTACTCAAAGCTAGTATGTTGCTATCAAAACTGCAGACTGCCAAATACTTTGGTTTCTCTCACACACAGTCATTTCAACAGATTGAATTGTTTCACTCAAAAGATATCTGGAAAAGCAGTAATAATTAACTACATTGCTTCTCCTGTCACAGTGGTCCTACTTAAGCACTGGAATGATTGACCTCACCTCTTGTAGTTTACACAGTACAATAGTTAGATAATTTTATAATTTAATCATAGTTAATGTCTTCAAATTTGCGATGTTTCTTCAAATATGCACTTTTGATTAAGTAGGTAGACAGACTCAAAGGAAAGCTCTTTCAAGGTGTGCAATCCCAAGAAAAACATGAGATGGAAAAGTTCCTAAGGAACACAGTTTTGCTCATTTTAACTGTAATTAACAGATTGCAGTAACCTTTTTATTATCCAGGCTAAAGAAAAGAAACTAAATACATGGGTAATACACAAAATTATGTAAACAAGGACATCAGAACATACATGAGGGTCTGCTGAGAAGGAGAAAGGTCTGTGATACTGTTGACTTGAACTGAATTTTGCATTCAGTGAGAGCTGTGAGCTGTGGGAAGTATAATTGATACCATATTAGGATGACATACCTGCTCCCAGTGCAAAACAATGCTAACAGGTTTGGGGATGGCCATTTTAAAGGCAGGCTAAATCAGAAGCACTATTTTTGTCATGTTTTCTTCCATAGAATAGGAGTTAAATCTCCATTTCTCCTCCTGCTAATCAATGTTTAGCTTGCTTTCTCAATCAGGTCTATCTTAGCCAGCATTAAATAATCTTTACCAAGAAAAGACTATACCTTTTCTAGACATTTCTCCTCTGCATCTCTGGTGTATATGAGCAAGACAACAGCTAGAAACAGTTCAAACAAAAACATTTCTCAGTTTTACTTATACATGCAACACCTCAAAACAATAAAAAACTATTTCTATGTAATCCTTAAGACCACAGTTAGTTTCTTTTAAGTCATGATACCAGTGTTACTACTGATGTTACCACATAGATCTCTACTCTGCTTGTTCAAATAAGTATTAATAGGTATTTGACTCAGTATATGTCCCTATTTATGAACATCAAGTTCATTCAGATTGGTGCTTTTTATTCCCAGAGGCACTGCTGCTCCCATGTACACCTCAAGTCAGGAGGTACAACAGTGAAACACAGATAAACTTCTCCAGTCTCCCTATTTATTATCAATAGTGTCATATCTACATAAACCATATTTCTTAAGCGGGTAAAGCCTTCTGAGGCTCTCTTCCTCCACTTTTCATGGGGAAAAACCCAGATTAAATTATATTATGTATTTAAATACCCATTATGAAAATGCACCCTCATCAGTCAGTTTGTATTCTCTGACAGTAGCTGGTGGTTGGTTGTTAAACTCTGGTGAACAGCCCTAATCTCTCACTTTCCCAGCCAGCCAGGGACCTGTCCCAGGACTTTATCAGCATTGTTTTAGTCCCAGTTATTGATAAGCATCCCTACATGTTGCTTTGCTTTCAGTGCCCCATCCCCTTATGTATTATGTCCACCCTTCTGAATCTCCATTCCAAGAACCAGGAAGGAATTAGAGACTGATGGCAAATGGGTCTGAATTCCTTTGAGAAGTTCAGCTCATCCACAACACCCTGTTTGCACAAACATACACTGTTCTGCCATTTTCAAGTAACTGCTGTAGAAGACACATACCCTTTTTATTTCCAAACAAGATTACAGAATAAAAATATAAACTGAAAGAAGAAAAGAGGATTTTTACAGGATTCTTATCTAGATTGTTTAATGCAACTTTCATTTTCTAGCCCACTAGTCTTTACTTTCTGAATCACTACCTTCTCTCCAAAAGGAACATGCAGCTTTATTCCATAGATTCTTGGCCAAGATATGACTGCTTTTTTTCCCCTCCAGTTATACAAATACTTTTTCTTTCTAGTAATATGCAAAATACTTGTTTACAGTTTTACCCTCATATTTTGAGGAATGTCACATTGTAATCACATTAGAAGTCTGATGGTATTCAGAAGTTCACTATACAGCAGAGGATTTCTTATAACATGGTGAAAATCAGTTGCAAAGGAAAAAAATGTACTGGATAGAACTCTTCTTATTGAACTCCAGATCAGATTTTCCAATTTGATCAGTAGGAATTAAAATACTATATGTGAATTTGGCTTTTTAGATCAGTATTTATATGGTTCCTGTCTTCTAGGTGGTTTATGTCAATAAATACTTGCCTTTCTTCACTCCATTAATCATGATAAGGTTTGATCTGCCATTGTTTCATTTCACTAGCAGAGTTTGGAGTCAACTCCAGGATTTCTTCCACTAGCCTCTCAGCATTCAAAAGCTTGACCTTTTTAGACCAAGATAGACGTCTAGAGCAAACACCCCATTTACAATCATCCTTTTGGGCCTTAGCATCTCTACATCCTTGACTCAGTTTATGTGTTAATAACAAAATTCCCAGATGCTGCAGAATGTGTGCTGATGATTAACACTGTTTCCACTGATCAATAACAAAACAATAACAAGTCACAACAGAATCAACATGCTATTATGAGATTAATTTAGTGATCAGCAGAACCCTATTGCACTCTTTACCCATGTCTGTGCTGCATGTGGGAGACCTGATTATAATAGACATAAAAGTACACAAGCTTCATTCTCACTCACTTGATGTTGTTGGCAGTGAAGTTGTAATTGCAGAGGATTCAGCCCAGGTCAACACACCAACCTCATGCACTCAGTATCTGGCACGTTGTTGCTATTGCTTAGTATGCCTAACACTGAATTTAAGGCAGCAGGTATATACCTACATATATGCTATGCTTATCTGAATATGCCATTTATTTTTTTATAGAGACAACCATGATTTTAAAATTGTTACAGTTTCATGGCAAAATTCTTGTTTTCTTTTACTAGAAAGAACATCCTTCACTTCTTTTACTCTATCACTGTTTCTCAGTTGTAGGTTATAATCAATGCTGGTAACAGCTCACTCCTTGACTAGAAAGTGAGCAGTAGCTACTGTTATTGTCAGCCAGTCTTTACAGCAGCAAGGCAACTCCAAGTGGCCTTTAATTACTGCCAGGAGCTCAGTTCTTGGAGGGTAAAGAACATGTTTACACCACGTGCACCATGTCCTCCCAGCCTCAGAGGCTGGAAGGCTCTCAGAGGGCTATTTTGAATCTCAGGTGTTTGGAGATTCTGTGTGGTGGAAATACCATCCAGCTGTCAAATTAGTTTTTATAATCAAGAAGTCAAAATCAAAGCACATGATGGTTTGAACCACTTACTTGAGCTATAACTGCATCTCAGTCATTTAGCTTTGTTGAAATGTAATATAAAAAATTTCCTCCACAAAAGAATACAAAGTGGTATTGAACTGAAAAATGTGGTTCAACACCTTTCTCTAGTAAAAAAAGAAAAATTTGTCTTAAATATACCTAAATGCATTCCATATTGTTGGATATCTGTTGACAACTACCAATGTTGTTGCAACTGTACTCTTAATAGAGTGTTAACCAATCCTGACACTCCAGGCCATGGTTGTTGGAAGAGGCAAGAACAGGAAATTATAACCTACTCATATTTTCATAATTGTTTTCATTTTACATTTATTAGTCTACTAATACTTGTCACACAGTTACCAGCCCTGTTTTCTTCTCAACAGCCAACAACTGGAGCTGTTGGTTTTGAAGCACAGTTGTGTTAAGAGTTACACTTTCATTCTTGGTTACTCCCAGTGCTGGGAAGTCTTCAGGATTTTTTGTGTTTCCTTTCTAGAGTCACTTTGTATGAAGAATGATTCCAGATGCCTGTCAAACTCTTGCCAAAAGAATTCTACATGCATTGCTGGTCATAAAGACGATACTTGCCTTTGTGCAGATGCATCAGTGGACAGTATGGAGGAAGTCTGCAATAAAACCTCTGATCCTTGCTCTTCAAACCCTTGTCTTCAAAACGCTACCTGTTTAAGCTCTGCTGGAAACCTCAGCTTTACTTGTGAGTGCCCTGCTGGTTATAATGGATCTACCTGTGAAATAGCTGTCACTGTGTGTGACATAAACCCCTGTGAACATGGAGGCACCTGCCAAAATGGCCTGGCTGGGCCCACCTGCCTTTGTAGCGCAGGATACACAGGTACACTCTGTGAAATGGATTTTGATGAATGCATTTCTGAACCATGCCACAATGGAGCAGTGTGCAAGGATGGGGTTGATGAATACTCTTGCTACTGTGTCCCAGGCTACCAAGGCAAGCATTGTGACCTGGAAGTGAATGAATGTGTGTCAGATCCATGCTTGAATGGGGCAACATGTCTCAACCAGATAGGACAATATGACTGCATCTGTCCAGTTGGGTACACAGGTAAGCACTATTAAAACAACTTTTACTTTGTGTCGTGGAGAACCATCATAATTTATGTTCCAAGTTCAGCTCCCCCACCCCCACACTTATTTAGTCATATCTGTATTACCACCTTGCCTTCTGCTTCGGCACCAGTGACTGTTGGTGCATTATGGGTTACCTTATCACTGTGAACTATATCAGATAGAGAAGGGTTATAGAAATCTCACGTTTACCTAAAACTACAGAGCAGTTTTGTAAACATCAAGCTATGTCACAGGGCTAGGTTAACTTTCCTTTCTTTTAAAAGAAACATTCTCAAAATGCACATCCTCAGAGTGCTATACATGGTTTTTCATCCTCAGACAAAACCTGTTTGACAGGGTTGAAAATTAGATCTCATTAGACTGGCTTGATTTGCTAATCATGACAAACTGTACCCTTAAACCTAGACATTTCACGTTAACTTCCTCTCCTCTGCCCTTCCCAGAAAGAGAGGACTCATTTGCAACTAGAACATTATGTAAATTAAATAGAAAAGTATTATCAGGTTCCCAAACTGCCCATTTTTTGATAATTTCATTTTATGTGGCTCCATTTTTAAGGTACAGGTGTGATTTTTCCTGCCTACTTCCTCTACTGGAGACCGTATAATCCTTGCGGGAGACAGCTCCCTTCAAACTTCAAAGCTGTATTCAGGGGTAGGACTGCAAGAGGTAGCACACTGAATCATTAAAAGAAAAGGGAAGGCATTTTAGTGGTAGATTGCCAGCCAGGTAAGCAGGGGAAAAAAAAAAAAAAAAAAGTGTCATACAGCAAAAGGGGGGAAAAAAACAGCTATTGCTTCAAGTGATTCAAATGAATAAGAAATGAGAGATGTGGTTTACAGCTCCATCCCCAAATCCCCATGCAGGAGAGGAAGTTAGAGGTAAAAAGCAGCTTTCCTGTGTCTGACACAGCACTTGTTGGAAGCCAGCCCTTGGTTAATATCCCTCATGAGCACCGAGAATGTTATTTGAAGGAAGCTTGTTACCTTCCCGCCACCCTGCTGCTGCCAGCGGGTGTCTAAGCCCAGGCCAGCTGAGGAGAAAACTACACAACCAGGGGAAAGCCAAAGAGCAGAAGGAAGGAAAAACCTATTAACAGCCAGCATGGTTACCCTGCAATGATCAGACTCAGCCCAGACCTCCTGTTGTATTCAGGAAACTGTATTTGTTTAACTGGCACAGTTAGTTGGGCCCAGAACAGGATCCATAGCCAAGAAACAAAATTTGAAAGACAGAGAATATACACCTTAGAGACAAGGAGAGAAAAAACATACTAAAATAGTAAAGCCCAAACAAAAAGTAATGAAGATTTAGATCAACACAAACTGCTGGGGAAAACTCACTCTGCTGGGAGTCACTCCACTTTCATCAAGAAATTCTGCTGTTTCCCAGGCTGATGCCCTCTGCTCTCACTAAAAATCAAGCTATGTCACCAAGTGCTCCACATTCAGCACAAGCAGAGTTAAGAAATGAGGAGAGAACCAAGGGAGGAGAAGAGGTCTAAAATACAAAGCAGAAGAGGCTGCTGTATTTTGACATACAGCTCCAACACTGCTTCCAGCAGCAAAGAGACTAATCATAATAATTCTGTAGAGGAGTATCACTATTCCTTCAGCAGTAAAACACCAGTTTTTAAAGCTACTTAACAAAATGATTTATCAGAAGCATTCTTTTTTTGTTGTTTTCTGCACCTCACTGTGAGTTGTGCTAAATGCACAAGCCAGAGGGATTACTGGATAAAAGCCCTGAGGTGTACCCACTGGTAATAAAAACCCTCATTTACTCTGTCAGGGGATCTTGCCAACCATTATTATCCTGGTCTGACACCATGAATTACTGTGGGAAGTCATCCAGCCTCATCTCATTTCCCTAAGATGTTAAAAAGGTTATATCTCTTGATATGTAGGTAGAGAATGTACAGTAAATCTACAGCAGTAACGTTAACCAAATGCTTGAATTACTGGCTGCAGTTGCTACTTGTTTCATGGACTATGACTGCTATTTTGTATGATTGGTATGCTGCAGCACTTCTTAAAATAGCTGAGAAATGTCACACATAATTCTTACACAAATGGAAGAGGTTAGAACGCACCAAGAGCCAAAGACTGGAAAATTTAGCATGAAATCTGCAGTTTCTATGATAATGTTCTGCATGTGTGAAATTATTTACAAGACATGTGTCACGCAGCTGTTAAATAATGAAGCTCAATCGGTTTGTTGAAGTTTTGCTGGCTACCTAAATCAAATGCATTTTTTCCTTCATTGAACTAATTGCGCTTGCTTTTAATTCACCCCAACAGAGCATGGTGCAAGGGCCTGTTATTAGCCACAGCTAGGTACGTTAATTACCCTGCTGGACACAGCTGAAGCCAGTCCTCCATTGCCAGTGAGCATTTTAGTGTGAACTATCAGGGATGCATGGCAGTTCCAAAATCCACTCTTAGCCCAAGACAACAGGAGGAAAAAGTGTTTTAGTGACAGATGAAATGGGTGCAATGGGCTACATTAATTCTTTGTGCAATACATTTTAATATGATGTAACCATAGCTGGAACGAACTCTGTACAATATGAAGAAATTATTCCTGACAGATCTTTAAGTTCTCATGCTGTATTCTTATCAATAACATATACACCATGGAAATATTTAGAGGATCATAAGTTAGGCACTTAAAGGCAAGCAGAGGCACAGCAGCCTCTGCCATGGGATGAAGCACCTCAAGTGCAGATCTCATGTCTCAGCAAGCTCATTGCAGTATCATTGTGGATATCAATAGCAAACAACACTGTCCATCCAACAGCAATTGCTATCAAAGTGGAAAGCCTGTTTCCTTCCTCAACTTTCAAGTTGCAAACCAGCACTTCCAACCTTGTGGCCTAGCCAGTCTGAGCAGAAGATTCAGCCCAGGTTCTCAGCTCTGCTGAGATTTCAGCACAAGACCGATGTGAGAAGAGCCCAGCAGTACTGATCACCTGTCAGAGAGTTTTCAAAATAAAGATTAGCAGAGGGCACGTACATTCAAAGTGAGCTTGTCACAGTTCAAAACTTCATGGCGCTGAAACCTTTGATTGGATTTAGCCCTGCTACTCTCCTCCGAATGCGTCTGCATAGCGCAGTGTTGTAAGACCTGTAACAACTTACATCTATGCACACATCCAGGTAACTGGTGGTTAGCACAGACCTGTGAGCAAAAAGGACAAGCCTCACTCCAAGAAACTGAACTCTTCCCTCTGTCTAATTTTTGATGAACACTCACTCTGTCCCTTCAAAGCTGGTGCCTAGAAAATAGCTGACACTATCCATCCAGATAAGAGCACTTAAGATTGCTATACACAGATGGAGGAATTTGGGAACAGTCCTTTGTACCTGCCGTGCCTGAGCACAGCACTACAGCACAGAATGGAAGGGGTGACCTGGATACCAATTTCCAGCTGTATTAAGAACTTGCAGGTCCTCCTGGAACTACACTGAGCCTGCAAACCCCTAGTATCTTTGACCAGAAGGTGATTTTACAATATACCTGTAGGCAGGCAAGTTTGAAAATGTTTGCTGTATTTCTTTCATCCTTGCGTGCATTTGCTTTTTATTGACTGGGGCTGTACAAAGAAGTGCACAGTAGGACTCATTTGAAAAGCAAGCAGTGTGAGAAATAATCTTAGTTCTTCAAAGAAACTGCAAAAGTTATAAATATCACTTATATCAACCTTCCCAGTCTCTCAATTCAAACCACTTGTGCGGTTTGGTATCTACTGAAATACCCTGCCTGCTCTAGGATGGAATGCCTTTGTTTTTGATGGTGTAGCCCCATGCAATAACTGCAGCAAGACTTGTTGGTGTTCTTTTTCCTTTCTGGCATATGATATTTGGCATACAACATATTTATGACAGAATGTTAGACTGAGGTGCAAATGCAGATCTAATCTTTTCATCTCTCTTCTTCACATATAAGAAAGTCTGACAGCAGATTCAATAGAGGTTGGGAAGGAATTCCCCCCATTTTCATGGCATGTCGCATTGGCTGGATGCGTTATACAGAGAGAAGTTTTCTTCTAAGGCAACATTGCCGAAGGCAGGTTACTGGGCTTGATAGATTAAAGACATGAACCAAAACAACAACGCTATGTTCTCATGTTAATCATCAGGCTGTTCTCAGGCCTGTAGTTTTAAATTTGGCTGAACTGAGGATCAGTTGCACAGGGCTTGTTTTGTCACATGATTTTTAGTGTTCGCAGTAAGCTGTTAACAAGCTCTGGCAGATTTACGGTCACTAGACATACTTCTGCAAACACATTGTTTACAATTACAGTGAATTCACAGGGCAATGACCACAGAGGGATTGCTCACTATATCTGGATGTAATGTACATTACCATAAAGCCATAAGAGAGTGTTCCTGTGCTAGGGTCTCGTGGCAGGCTCCTGCTGAAAGTGGTGGCTAGCTGATCAGTGAATCTTACACTGGGAGCACGGGACTGGCAACTTCACCCATCCAATGTTCTATATGTGGTCTCAAATAACTATAAAAATATATTCTCTCAAATTACAGCAGTAATATTTCTTAACTACTGGAAAGGTGAACTTGCACTTTAATGTTTAAATACAATTTAAAATAGCTATGAGCTAACATCCTCAAATTTTGTTTTGGCATTTTAAGATATATCCAGGTATTGATCCATAAAATGGATTTTTTATTTAAACAAAGATGCTATTCAAAAAGGTTGAAGTAAATTAATAATCAAATAACACTACTAAATATTAGTAATCTCGATGTTTTGAGAAAGGTGTTCTGAGTTAAACATACAGATTTCATAGCAGGACAGAGCTGGCAAAAACAGCACAAAGAAAGAATTAGGTGAGCTCCTAAATTGCTAAGTTAATACCCATCATCAAAACATGTCTGTTACCATCTTTTGAAAGCCCACCCCATCATCTTGTACTGAAAACTTCACCTCTCCAAAGAAATGGAACCCATTCTCAGAGCTTCAGATTATCTTTCAAGTAGGAAATTCCCCTGAAAACTATTTACTATACTGCTGCTACTTTGGTAAGCCAAACAAGAGATAGGGAAGTCCACTTAAAAGCAGCTTCTTCGTTATAATTTGCCATTTTGCATCTGTTTTGTGGCTGATACTGTAGCTGTTAAAACAAATTGACTTGGCAGGTGAAAATTTTTTAAAAAAATATCACTCTATTACTCAAAATACTAAATAAGTGTGTAAGCATACAAACCACTGAAATAATCAAAGCAGGAGCTGTAAGGCATTAATTATGAAATTTTCTAAAGTGTTTCCTGGACTGTGCTAGACATAAGAAAAAGGAGTGTATATTTAACATGACAACTATAATAAATAGCTGTAAACTAATATTAGAACTCATTTAGTTCCATCAATTAACTCTGAAGAGCAGCTCAAGGATTCTGACCTGTGCAAACATGGCATCATAGATGGATTTATTTACACATTGCTAAATCTTAAAAAAAAAAAAAAAAAAAAAAAGCGCCATAAAACATAGCTAAACAGACAGCTTCCCAATGAATTCAATTAATTGTGCAGCTTTAAGTGGACTCTTCTGAGGTCATTGAATTACTAGTGACTTCTGTATTATATAAATAGGATAGTAGCATGGTTTGAATAATCTGAAAATTAGTTCATTCTGTTTCTATGTTCAAGATAACATTAAAAGTTGCTATTCAACCTATTCTTGTGAATAACAGCTGGTTTGTTCTTTTGTAAGTTCTCCCAAGCCTTGAAAAAACTAGTCTTGCAACACACGTTGAGGAGGAAATGACTTTTAAAAATAGACAATTGCTCAAAAAAACCAATCATGTGAATATTGTACTTAAAACAGTCCTAGCTGAGATCTCCAAAACTATCTCCTAAGTTTGGGATTTGCTTGTTTTCTTTACTTTTGAAGGTACAAACTGTGAGCTGGAAATAGACGAGTGCTGGTCACAGCCGTGCCTGAATGGGGCGACCTGCCGCGACTCCCTGGGGAGCTTCGCCTGCTCCTGCGCACCCGGCTTCCTTGGCCACCTCTGCCAAACCAACATTGATGAGTGTGCCAGCCAGCCGTGCCTCAACAGGGGACAGTGCACAGATGGTGACAACGGGTAGGTAACACTAGGTAACACTAATGGAAGGTGCTAGTAGCTCCTCTGTTTGCAAAAGGGAATTCTACAAGAGCCTGTACTGTCAGGTAGCTGATTTGATTTCCACTTGTGGATATCACTCCTTGATCCTGCACTGATTTCGGTTTAAATTTGAAAAGAATTAAAGAAAGCAAGCCTAGTGTCAGAGCCAACAGGACAACAAAATATTTACGGCAAAGACTGACCAAGAAATACATTTTTCAAATCTGTAGTTTTACTTTAAATGTTTAAAATATGTTGTTTGTCTGGCCCAGAGGATTGTTATTTAGAGATTAATTCTGTTTCTAACACTCATCAGACTTTAGTTTCCAAGAGAGATGTGAGAGTGTATAAAATTGAATTTGCCAACAGTGGTTGCCCACACTAACAGACAGAATTAGAAGAAGCAAACTGTAATAATAGTAACCATAGTAATAGATATCATTAGGAAATGTGTCAGAAACTTTACAGGCATATAGGATAACAGCTCCTTATTCAAAACAGCCTGCAGTCCATGGGCAAAAATTAAAAATAAGGAGTATACAAGGCAACAGAAAAGCGAGCTTCTCCACCTGCTGTTAATAGCCCTACGCAGAGGTTCAACCCAGGCAGCCAGAACTCTGGCATTCATTCACTGACACTGGCTTTGCATACTCAGCATGAGATTCCCAAACTGAAAATACATATGTATAAGCTCAGTCTGAAAGTTCCTAAGTATATTCATGTAGACACTCTTCTCACCAATATAAGATCTGTCCTCTATTGTGTATTTTCCAGTTTTTATAAAGCAGTTTTGAAGATTTTAGTGCCCAAAAAATCAGTCCAAAAGTCATGTCAGTGAAAGGCATGCTTGCCTTGAATGAGAGGGGGAAGAGATCATGTTCTGGGAATGAGCTTTTGTACAGGTGGTGACATGGCACCAACCTTGTGGAGTTCCTTTTCAGCAGCGCTGAATGACTCTGAACAGGACAAAGCAATTTACTATTTTCCAGTGTAGCTAAAGCATGACAGCAGGGAAAGGGAGGTCACCTTGCACCTGACTAGTTCACAGCAGACCCACTTAGTAACCTGCAAACCTTTTCAGGATACACGCATGAGGTGAGAAACTGGGATGCTCATTCAGGCCAGACTTAATCCTACTCATTTTTCTCCTAGCTTTTAAAGCTGAGGTACATGTAAGAGCAATTTTAATTGGCTTGTAATACAGCAGGATATCTGGAGAACGATTGGAGCTCTTACCACTTTTGTTACATGATGAAAAGGGTTGGACAACAAAGCAATTCAAAACAGAAGGGTGTCTAGCCATTTCCTCTCTTTTGTGTATTTTTTGGGTTAAATGAAGAATTGTAGTCTTTAAAAAGTAGCTTTCTGTTTCTGACTAATGCTGCAATACAGCTGAGGCTTTTGTGTGTGTGTGTGTGTATGTGTGTGTGTGTGTGTGTGTGTGTGACCAGCTCTCACAGCAATGTGTGAGATGACAGATTTAGCATTAAAAGCTGTAAATACAAACACCAAACCAAATTCTTCCCCAAATTTCAGACTGATCTTCCAGTGATGTTTCATGAATGCAACAAAGTACAACCTGATATCTTAAAAAAATAAGTTTCACATTATCAAACATTTCTTATTTAAACTCAACAATTGACAGAGGTTCCTTAGTAGGACCTACAAAACCTGCTGTGTGCAGGCATGAAGGATACCTCTGCAAGTTCCAAGCCTTTTTTTCCATAGGAAATATTCCCAGGATCTTCAATGCTCTTCTGATTGCAAAGGAAAGAATATCTGCACATATTGCTTTCTGCATATTGGGAGACCATCAAACAAGAAGCCCCAAAATAATGTTAGGTAGAGTATCTAAGAGTATCACTCTTAATAGAAAAGCCCTCTGCCTGCTTAGTCATAGACTGCCCACAAGCTGGGCATCCTCCAGAATCTCTGAAGGTCAACAGCAATGTCAAATACTTAAAGGTATGCGAGAAAAAAGGCACAGAGGTAGGGCTTCACATTAAGCAGCAAGTTGTGAATATTCCTCCATGATTCTGGACCAAAGGGTAAAAAGAGGATGGACTAAAGCAGAAAAATATCTATTGTCACAGAGCTGAACACCACCAAACTGAAGGAACTTGGAGGAAATGTGCAAAAAATACAGCAGAAAAAGAGAGACTTCTGTTTTGAAAACATACCTCAGAATGAAAATTATTTTTCTAATTCACATCTTCCTCATTACTTTTTATATCCTAAATTCAAATGCCACCTGGTCTAAGTCACCTCTGATTTTGATTTAAGAATAATCCATACACTAGTAATAAACTGGTCTGCCAGAAGTTTCTGCTTATATACACTTAAATAGTGTAGTAAAAAGTTTATGCTTTTTGGTCTGTTAGACTGCAGGAGCCAGTTTTTCTCTGATGTTCCCTTATGTTCAGCAATTTCACTTTCTCTCCATATATTTACTCCAAGTCTAAGACTTAGATATTCAGCACAGAAACTATCAAATAAGTATACTTATGTCTTATTCAGCAAGATTCCCATGATTTCAATTGTACAATAAGCAGCGTATCATTTTAATATAAAGTGAAACGATACAATAATTTTTTGTTTCTGATAATTATTTAGACACATATCATCCAAGTATGCACATTTAACATAGTTATCTTATGAAGACCTGTCTGTATTTCTGACATGTACAAGCTGACCTTATACCTTATGACCTAAGTATGTTATGTCTTATAATAATTAGTTCACCTGAAAAGAAAAGAAAAACTCCCAGATGTTACTGATTACCTGCACTGTTCATTTATACATACTAATTTGTTTACTTTTAATCCCATAATAGTAACATAGCTGTCAAAAGGAAGCCTGCACTACTATTATTATTGGAACTATTCAAACAATTGACATTTTTGTTCTAACCTGAAAATAAAATATTGTTTTTCATCAAAGAGAAAATATCACTTAGTTGAGGAATAGAAATTGCCTTACTTTTTTTCCAATTCAGTTTCTACCAGTCCAAGAGAAAGGGATACTAACACACTTAGCGCCTCTTCCCTTTTCATTTTGTGAACAATATTAAGCCTACAAAAACTGCATTGGAAATAACAGAAACTTATTTCCCCCCAATAAAATAATAATTTTAAAAAGTTTAATAATTCTTAGAAGAGATGACCTTTCAAAACCAATTTAAATTCACAAGCAGGTTTTTTCCCCAGACAAACCCCACACATTTCAGGAAAAATCTCATTGTTGATTCCCAATTTCTGCGGTTTTTCCTGGAGCACCAGACGGTGGTCTTGAGCCTGGACTCAACTGTGCAAGCTGCTAGCCAAGGCTACACAAGAAGCCTGCTCAGATTTGGGAGCAAAGCCCAGATGTCCAGACTTCCAGCTAGGGTAAGCATTGCATTCTGTGTTGCAGGTACAGATGCAACTGTACTGGTACTGGATTTATGGGCCTACACTGTGAGACCCTAGCTCCCTTATGTTGGTCACAACCATGCTACAATAATGGCACTTGTGAGGACAACGATGACAATTACATATGCCACTGTTGGCCAGGTAAGTTCTAAATTCTCCTATAAACTCTTTCTTTGTATAGTAGAGGTGTCCTCATTTTTTTGCTGATACAGTAACAGGTTAAAGCTACATAACCTTAAAAATACTCTATAGGCTTGTGTTTAGACATGCTTCACTCACCATGAGTCAGACCCTTATGGGTGAGTTGCTCTCCTTTTCCAGCTAAGGATCGATTTCCCTGCACAGCCAAAGTGGGCAAAACCAAAAGTGCCAGTATTATGAAGTCAAGACACGAGATAAGTCAAAGTTGGGACCCAACTTCCATCTCCCAGTTGCTTAATCCTTCAACCCTTGTAATAAATTAATCACTGCTAAAGCTGACCATTAAAATGATCTTTAAACCATCTAAAACCCTACTTTTCAATGCAAAATGTTTGTCTATTTATGAACAAAAATTAAACTAGGTGTTACATCAGGAAACTGGTCTCCTACATCACTAGTGCAAGTTCTTCTGTCTGACAGCGTAGGATGGAACACACTGGGCTGTGTTCACCACCACCAATGCTTGAATATCCAGCCATTTGCAAAAAGGCTCCCACACCCCCACTGGGGACACAGACCCTGCGTTCTTGAGAGACACTGTGAATCTTTCAGCACACAGACTAACTACAAGAAGTCTCTCTAAAAAGTTTAATGTCCGTGGCCTTACTGAGGATGCAGGAGCACATCACACTGTGAGGAGTAAATGCCACAGTGTTGCTGGACTACATGGTTCTTGGTGCATTAGAAATCAAAAAAATTAGGCAGAACCGTTAGCATTTTCCAGAAATTGGGGAGTTTTCTGGCACTTCAAATTCCAGATATAGCACTTCACAAACACAAAATAATTTATCCTCCCTGCCCTCCTCTGTCATAGGGAGGTGGTGTAAAAGAGAAGAAAAAACTTCACACAGCCTGAGAGCACATCTACCGTACAATGCTGCGTGCCTTGTTATCCACATGGATCTCCACGTCACTTCCTAAAAAAACCCAAAGTCTGTACGGCACAGCAAATCTCAGGTAGCTAATGCAGAACAGCCGCAGCAATATCCTGCTGCTGAGCCCTGACACAGAGCTGCAAGGAAGCGTTCACACCTTCGAGAGGCAGAGGGAATCTTTTAGCACACGACAGAGTCTGAAGCCAAGCGCATGTAGTAGTCACGGTGCATACGCACCATGGTATTTTCGGGTCTGGAATGAAGGGATGCACACCAGTGAGATGCCTTCTCCTCTGGGCTCTCTGCAGGCTACGCGGGCTCCCGCTGCGAGGAGGACATCGGGGAGTGCAGCAGCAGCCCCTGCCGCTCCGGGGGGGTCTGCGTGGAGCGCTCCTGGGCCGGCCGCTACGGGAGCGTCCCCGGCCTGCCGCCCGCCTTCCGCTACGACACAGCGGAGGGCTATATCTGCAGCTGTCAGCCAGGCTTTGCCGGTAAGATGCCCTCGGTGAAAGACTAGGAAATGATGCACTGCAGCATTCTGTTGTTTTGGCCTGGCTGTAAATAAATCTCTCAATGAAGTTACGCGCTTGAAGGTGCCATAGTGCAAAGGGTCCCTCTGGCGGTCACCTCACCCGTGTTTCTGTAGGGATTGGTATGGAAAGAAGGGAGGTGGTTGCACGAGTTGCGAGCCTGAACAATTTACAGAAATCGAGCAGCAGTGTGGAGGCCCCTCGGGCAGCAGCAGCGACGCCATCTCCTCGGCTGCAAAGCTGCGCTGGCCCGAACCGCACTTGCTCGAACTAGGCCGCCAGCTTCGGTAGCGGGTGTTGTAAGGATGAAATTCACTGTGCACAGGTAATATATTACATGAATGAAAACTGTGGCTAAAAAATGAGAGAGTGTGTTCATAAAACAACACTCCCAAACTTCCAGCGTTTCTGTCTACATACTCCTTGCGTAATTCTACGTAGAGGCACTGGGGACTGGCAGGAACACTTCTTCATCTGAGCACAAGGCAACGTTTTCTTTGATTTGGCAGTGTAGCATGTTGGTGATATTCTACAGCTTGAATGAAAAATAACTTGAAGTTGTATGCATAGCTGTGTCCTTAAGGAAAAAAAAAACCAAACCAAACCCAAAAACCTATCAAAATTACAGATAACCATAATCCTATAAAAGATGTGTTAAGATTTGCATTTAACACAGCCTGCACTATTTAGCACAGCCACAAACAAGTTGGGTTTAGATTGTACAATTATGGGTCTACAGTATTTTTTCTGTCAACTCCATAATCTTGTTTCTTCTGAAGGAAGGAATAATCAATAGCTACATTAATTTAACCAGCCTTCAATCCCTCATTCCATTTATCTCATAAGCATTTTACAGACTTTCGTATGTCTCCCAGTGAGTTGCATGACTGCTGTCTCCAAGGCACCTATAAAGGTATATAGGGAGCACAACTTTCACTCTGAATTCCCAATGTATTTTCTTCAAAGTGGCATTGAGATATGTTTGCTTTTGTTCTATCCCTTCCCCTTAACTGTCTTTCCCCATCCTGTCACTAAGTGTTGCTGTTGTTCTTTTGTTCTACCAAAGAGAGTATAATATGAGGCTTCAACTAAGACTTTTGATATCTCTCAGGCTGTCCTAAACACCCTTACCTCTTCACATACCACTTCTTTCTCTTTGCCTCGTTTCAGTGATGTCCAGCTCTCAAGTTTCTTTTCCTCCCCACTCTAATTAAAAAAACTTCTATGCTCTGTGAGGCACTGCAGAAGGCATTTCCTTGTTTAATCATCATCCTTTATCCTCTCATTTCCTTATCAATTGCCTTCACCTGGCTTGTTTGCCTGATCTGGGTCATGATTCTGCTGGTTTCACTCACACAGAGGACTCTTCTACTTCTCAGGGAGTACAGGTGGACTCTTAACTGGTCTGAAAAAAAATGTCAGAATCTATCTAAATCTATTAATCTTAATTTTTTTTTTCAATAGATAAGCTACTCATTCACAATGTAGAACTCTACAAAGCATGACTGAGAGAAGTCTTGGAGACCCTGAAATTTCTGTTGACTTCATATGTAAATTACATTACTTTTTAAAAAAACCTATGTAAGTTTAGTTATCTACGTACCTGTTGGGTACTATATCTAAATTTCATTAAAAAAAAACCCAAAATAGTTTTTCTTACCAAACAGTGTGCCCAGACATCTGGAGGCAAGAAGAACATAATCTTTAACAAGGGATGGCTGTAAAATCTGCATGTGAAATGTCATTCAGTAACATGCTGCAAAATAGTGGCAAAACAAGATTAATCTTGCTACTCTTGTCACATCCTTCCCTGTCTGTGTTTTCAGCAGGGCCTAAATTTTAAACTCTTTTTTTTTTTTTTTAATTTTACTGGCCTTTGTGAGATACAACATTGCTGAGCAATTTACATATTTTTCGAGAAAACAGCAGGATTGCTCTAACTGGTACCTAGCACCCTAGGTGCCCAGGCTTTGCTCGAATAGCCCTTAGGTACAATGCAGCTAGCCTCCCCAGTCCCCCCAGTAGCACTGTGCAGGTCTCTCTGGCCCTTCTCCTTCCCCCAGGTAATCTAGAATTAGAAAGTGTTCAAAATGAACCTCAGCCTCCTTGTATGTCAGAAGCATTGACACAAAAGCCTATAGGGTAGAGTGGAAACATTCACTTATGATGATGATAAGTAGTTTCTCCAATTATAGCCAAATTCATAGTAAATAAATCATGTGTTTTACTAGGAATCAAAGAAGATTTAAGATTAGAGTTGATAGCAGTAGTATGATTTAAGGCAGCAGACGAATCCCTGATCAGGATCACTCTAGTATATGGGTGCTTATCTAATGTATATGAAGTAACAGTCAACTGGACAAAAGGTCAGATCCTCTCATCTGGGTATCAGTACATATCACCGACAGCCAAAGTCTACATTTCTGTGCCTGTGGATCAGGAGTTCTTCCAGCCTTAACACTTGAATAGTTGTGTGTGCTTTAGATATAAACCCCCAGATTCCTATTGAAAGAGGACAAAGATTTTCTTTAATAAATCCCATTAAGTATTTTATTATGCCTATTTCCTCAGTAAAGCACTCACAGAACATTATAATCACATTTCACTGTTCAGAGTAATATGAAGAAATAATAATCCACATACCCTGCATTGGGAGGGCCTGATCCAAAAGCCATTGAAATCAATGGGAAGATGTCATGAAATTGAGGATGGTTGCCAATTTTGTAACAAGCAGAAAATGGTGTCTTTGAACTTAATGGATAAGATTGCAAACAAAATACTGTAATTCAACTGAAAAACTGAGAATACCTACCTTTTGGACTACAATTTTAGCCCCAAGAGCAGGAGATAATGGAGCCTAAACACATGCCTATGTCAGGATAAAGTATTTCCCTACCCAGCTGGGAGAAAGTAATAAATATTAACTGGCAGGATCTTGTTATAGATAATGATTATTCAGGTGACTTGAAAATAGTCAGTAGTCCTACAAAAATGCTTGGAAGGAACACATCTGCAAACAAAATTATTTCACATTTTGATTCTTAAAAATAAGACATAAAAATCCCAGTCTGGAGACTTTATCCCAACTGGAAACTCTTTGAGGGCATTGGATATATGCCTTATCCCAGATCCAAGATGGAAAATTTCTGCACAGGTTCTATGAAGGGTTAAAACTTCTCCAGGTCCCTTTTAAATCAAAGGGTTCAGAGATGCTCATATTTCAAGAGGTCTCTACTTCTGCAGTAGCAAACCCTAGATTTTTTTATATTACCTTGGTCTTCTGGCACCCTAGCACAACAGTACTTTTAATAGATTGGGCTTTTGTTTAAAGGGCTCGTGATTTGTTACTTCTAGCTAGAGGCAATAGTTACCCTAGAGCTGTGTCCTTTCATACCGTGGATATATTGTATTGCTCTAGCCCTGCACATTTTTTAAAAAGACTGTTATTTGAAAGGTTAAACTTTTCACTTTGCTCATGAAAACATATGGAAAAGGAGGAGGGCAGAGCTATGGATTTGGTAGTGACTCATTTCACCAGGTTGTAATAAACTTAACACCACGTCAAAATTAAAGAGCTTCTGAACTTGCAAGGTCTATCAAGTGACACATTCCAGTGTTGAACTGAGCCCAAGGAGCAGTGAGTGTACAAGGAAGGTGGGTCCTGCTCCACATGCCTCGGACACCATGCTGCCCCTGTTCCCCAGGTGGGTGGGACAGTGCTGCGAGCAAGGATGAAGACCATCCATTTTGCTGCTTCAGCACGATGAGTGTAAGAGGAGCAGAGCCCATTGACCCATTTGTAGGCAGGGTGTCTGCTGCCTGCTGACATGCAGACAAGTGCTGGCTGCTGAGGACATTACCGCTTCCGGTGTCTTGTTATCCACTATGTGCCAGCTGTGCCACCAGCACTGCTGCTTGCTTTGGCATCATGAATTCCTAAGTGGGTTTTGGCCTTTTCTTTTATTTGTCCTGTTTTCTGTTTTTCCATTTTAAATTTCCTTGGCCCTTTTCCCAGTCTGTTGGACTGCTGGAAGAGAAAATGATATGCTCAGACTGGTGTCGTATGCATATTGAATTCCTGGCAAATGAATGGGGGAAAAAACCTGTCTCCTGGAGCCAGAAGATGAGGCAGATAAATGGCCAGTGTGGGAGAGTACTGAACATTCAACAGACTAAGGAAAACCTCAACCCAGATACTGAACTGTAAACATCATGAGGCCGGTGCTTAAAAACTGAAACAGTTGGACTCTTAACCTGTACTTAAGCACACAGGGCATCAGGCTTCCATTTCCCTAAACATCTTTAGATGCTGCTATAGGCAGACCACCTAGCAGATGACAGTGTAGACTATGTCTTAGTTGGCCATACTGCACTCTCCTGGCCTGTGACAGTATTATACAGACATAAATATTATTTATGAGTAATGGGTAGGATAGTAGGCACATTATCACTAACTTGGAAGCTAAAAAGACATATATATATATTTTTGTTTTCTTCATTTTTTAAACCCCCTTCTTAACCATCAGTACAATGATCACAGAGCTGCCATCTTTTTTAGATATCTAAAGAAGAGTCTTACAAAAATGAAATCAAGCAGATGAATAGCAGAGTTCTCATCTTGTCCCCAGACTCCAAATTTTAATTTCTGCTTTACTTCCTTGTCTGTCCTTCAGCTGTTCACACCGCAGTAGTCCATCACTCCTCCATTACATCAAGTTAATCCACTTTATTTCATGGCCTGTCATCACAGTTTAAAAGGTCATTTTCTCTTGATTCTGAGACCTTAGAAGAAGACAAGACTGTTCAAGGAAAGAATGAACATAGAAAAGGAGGAGATACAGAGAAAAAAGACAGCTTCTAATTTAAGAAGGTTTCAAGGGCACTGCTTTTCAATGGGACTCAGGCTTCTCCCATAGGCAAGGCAGGCACTCAAGTTCAAAATGGAAAGGTCTCGAGGTACC